ATCATGGTTCAGCCCGATTCCCCGCTTCCCAATTAGCAGTATTAGTAGCATCTAAGCTCGTGAATAACGTACAGACATAAAAGAAGAGACCAGGGCGGATTACCCATCTGTAGTTGTAAATGTTTTGATTAATGAAAAGGAATCATTTTAAAACATCTGACTGGTAAGGTTTAATTAGTTCAAGACAAACAATGAACTGTTTTGATACAGCATGAAACGAGGTTCACGATTAAAGATTTGTTAGACTGTTTGCCAGACAATCACAGATTCCTGCAGCCGAGGCATCCAAAATTAAACAAAAGTTAAAAGGGGCAAAAGAGAAAAACACTTAGAGAAAATAATAAAAGACCTGACATACTCTCGTTAACGGTAATTATCTTCCTGTATGTTATCTTCTGTTTTAAATGCTCAATCTGATCCGAGGCAGGCTAACCTAACCTTAAAGAGCCCCCAACGGAATATCCCCATTGTCTACAAGACCATGGCAAAGAACGTTTTTCTTGCCCCGATCGGCTCTTAAATAGTTCTTCGAGCTTGCACTGCAAACACTGTACGAAGTTTTCACATTCCATGTAGTGGACGAACAGTACTTCCCTTTTCACTGAATGGCAAACGTTTCGGTCGAAAGTGCCCAATTGGAACTTTGGTGAATTTTAAATTAACAATGAATGCAATAATAATTTACAGTAAGATAATAATTTATTCATTTATGAAGCACAAATCTGATACAGTTACGTTCAAATGTCTTGTACAATAACATTAAACGTGGTCGAGCCGATGGCATAAGAAGGCGCCTCCGGCAGCCGCCAAATGACCTGCACCCACCTACATCTATCGAGAGGAGACAACAAGAAGCGGTTACAGTTTTAGAGGAGGGACGAAAAACCCAGAGAAGAAATTTCTGGGTAAGGCCACGGAATCTGGTAGGGACTGAAAACCCGATTCACATTCGGACCGAGCCGCGAATCGCACCCGGGCCGCAGAGGTGAAAGGCGAGGAAAAGAACTATTACGCCAACCTGACTCCCAATAACAACATCACTTGAAAAGGGACAGTTGGTGTTTCCTCGGCCGTACGTTAGACAGGGCTTTTGAGGTTTAAGGCTTACACCTTACATTCCGTTAAAAGTGTAATCTCTTATCGTAAATAGAAATAATTATTGCGCCCGCTTTTCTTATACCATGAGGACAAGAGCTCATTCTGGATTAGGTGAGGATGTATCTCAACAATTATGCACAGGGCCTTGTCGTTTTTTTTCGCCCATAGAAATAATTATTTCCTGTTTCAAGTGTCATAAAGCAGAAATAATTTGTAGCATTTCAACCCTTAACAATGGAGCCAGCAAACATCATGCCACACCTCCCAAGAATCGGCAATGGAATTGACGTCCACCGGCCTGGATTTATGACCACCATTGGCCCATTTTCTCAAAAATTATATTCCATGAGAGTTCACTAGCAGACTGTCACACACCACAGTCTTCGGAATAGTCCCTTTAGCTACATACAAAGATAGCGCTTAATTAAAAACCCATTTGTGCTGTAAATGTTTTTAGATATGCATTTCATATTGAAGTGTTTTGCTCATTGTTCAGTTAAGAGATTGTAAAGCCATAAAATCGGCTTTAGGGAGGCTGAGGCTGGTTTGGCTTAGTTAATCATTTATCCTTTTTTTCTGGTGAGGTGGTCCACAGAAGATGGATTTCTTTCTTCGTTTTACCGCGAACCTGAAATGTTGACATATCAACCACTCGCAAGAAAACATCAACAGCCGCTGACCGCACCGGTTCGGCCCTCATTGGCCTCTCGGGGTCACGTGGCTTTTTTGTGGCGGCTCCATATACGGTGGCAGAGAGGCGGCTCGGACGGGTTTTATGTTGATTTGATCGCGACGATTTCGGATTGAGCGCAAGGTGTCGTTGCGATTTTAGTGTCTTCCTGATTCCGGTGTTAAGTGCCCCAAGGGGTGTGGGACTGGTCCCAATTTGAGAAACTGAGCTCTTGTTGTTGGGGGACATTTATCATATCTTTCGTTTTTTCCCAACCAGTCTGAATAAACTTCATCTCCTCCAAATTAACAATTCATACATTCCACAAGTAATTATTTTGTTTCGAAGCAGTGCACTGCACTTATATTTTTTTTCAAACGTGTCAACAGCATATGAGACCATTTTCAATTTTGTCCCTCTTTCTCGCTCACAGATTCTTTTGATCTCAGGCTTCATGTCCTTTGCTTTGATCATAAAACAAGGGTTACGTTTGATGGGTAATAATGTTAAGGGGAATTCTGCTTTCGCTTAGCAATTAGATAATTTTGTTTTTCGCTGCTCTCTCGTCAAAGATGGAGGTCTGGGCTCATCTGTCGCATGATGAGTGAAGTCCTTGTTGTTGCGTTTTCTATTTAGCGAGGTACATGCAGGGGATATACGGACGGGTACTTTGTTAAGTTTTTCAGGGTGAAAATACGGACGGTGACACTTTCGGCAACAAACTGCGCGCTGAGTACCCAACTTTTGCACGGACTTGTTGGCTTTGGTAAGTAAGTTCCAGACTAAAATCACCTCATCAGCAGACCATGATTAATCAGAGTTAATGAAAGTGAAGTGTTGAACTGTCGTCATTTTCGTTTGTGAGATTCATGATCATTAATTGTTTCTAAAACTTGTCTCGTTTGATTGCGTTAACTTAGCCCAAAGGGAATTTTATCAAAATAAGCTTCTTGATGGTAATATGCCATGCCAAAATGTGTTGGGACGAACTGACTTTATCCAAGACAGTCGATGTCTACACAGTTTAGCCAATTCAGTTCAATTTATAGCACTGTTTAGAAAGACACTTTCGAAGAAACTTAGCAAGTTGGCTATTCAACCACCGAGTCTGTCTGCACGCAAACGTCACGAGTGTTTATAGGAAAGAAAAATGGTCGACGGTTCAAACCAAAACCATGACTTTGGCAGTGATTTGTTTCTTGTCAACTGCTATCTGCATAGATATGTGTCATGGAATCACTTGAGTGGTTGTCATGAAATCTACATGTACGGACCAGCAGAGATATGTCACTCTCAAACCGTCCTTTGTGCGAAATCTAGAAAATGCATCACCTTAGAATTGTGAAAGATATAGCCTCCATTCTGAAAGTTAAGACACAAAGTTATCCATGTAGCTTTGCGAATGAATTAAAATCATAATTATATTTCCACTTAAGAGGGTGATCTGTAACCATGGACATGCAAAACGCAAAAACTGACCATATCCAGTGGACTAATAAAGAATCAATCAGTATCCAGTCTTAGTTACTGGTGAACTGATTTACCAATTACAAACCTCACTGCCATAATAAGGAGTTATCGTGCTTTTGCTGTATATGCAGTACACAATGTTGAATGGTCTTGACACTGCAACGGGTATTATCTCCAGCAAACCTCATTTGTCAGAATAGAGATAGGGAAGCATGAATGTCAAGAGCAGAAAGGCGCAAAGGCATTCATACCTCCACGGATTTAGTTATTAGGGTACAAGTTTGTACAAATTTAATAAAAAACGAATCATGACAGCGAAGTCAACAAAACTGGCCTCGAGTCTGTAAAACGTCAACGTCTTTTTGGAAGGGGGAAACAGATAACTTGCAGGTGTTTGTATATCTTAGTAGTTTCATGAATAAATCATCCTTCTTTTAATAAATATTCACAATCAACTTATACCCCATTCAAATACATTCGAAATGTGACACGCGGGAGTCAGCCAAACCTGGCAGAAAAGATCGAAGTTATTAAAAAAATCATCTGCGTAAATATATTTGTCAGTTGAGATGATTACTCCGTCATTATGTATGCGTTGGGAAAACGTAACAGCAAAGTATCCTTCCTGCCGTCTGCGAGAGCAAAACCTCCCCATGAAGCAGAAATGAACTGTTCATCATATTCATATTAAACCGACAAACCAACCACTTGATCAATCAACTTCGGCTACAAACCTCGGCCGTACGCCTTACTGGAACAGCTCCTTAGTATTCATTCCAAAATTTCAGCATTTGATCCTGGTATGTCAAGATTCATTTCTGACACTACAGAAACGTGAAAGTTCTGCTAAATATCGACCCCATTGCAGCCTATTGTCACAATGCGTCTGAAGCGGGCGTCCTTTTCATTGCTTATTGAGGGCGCTGGACCAAACTAAGAGTAGCCATACAATGTTCTCAGTTGAGCAAAGTGAATTCGTCCTTTCGGTCGCTACAAGTATCAGAGATAGTGAATATTATAAACAAAACCTAATACTGCGATAAATGATAAAAGAGGATACATGAATGAACTTGCTCGTTAAGCTAATACGTGTATGTCCAGTGTAAGTCCAGATGTGCGTGTACATGGGTAAATAGTCTATAGGTCTTCGCCGAAGTACAGAACCATAAATAAACCATGCCTTAGTGCCAAGTTAACAGCTTATAAAACAGAAATTCATACCAACAGAGAAAAAGTGGACTTGAAACGAGAGATAAAAAGTGACCAGAGATTCTCTGAAGTTATAAAGTCGAAGTTAAAAATCTAAATTGTCTGTATTTAATCAAACTTATTTCATCATGAACGGCTATAAAGATAAATCAACACAAAGAATCATTGATTTTTTCATACAAAGCGAAAAAGCGTCTATTTCACTGCTTTTCAAATCCAGCCTTTGCAAACAACAAAATGAGGATGAAAAGCGATATCCAGGAAACTCTCAGATCTACGCAGTATTTATCTCAATGTTTTACCGCCAACCAACAAAATAATAGTCTAATAGGCAAGCTATAATGTCTGTCTGTTGAGTTTCAAGTTTAAACCACGGCATCACCACGGAGCCGATAAGTCTGACCCTATAAGCCCAGGAGATTCATGGCCTGCGCGCCAGTGGAATCACGTGACCCTGAAAAAAATGATTAAAACGAATTGGGCCTAACCTATATCAAATAAGTATAACCGCAGAAAAAAATTATATCGGATCATTTGCTTTTAAGATTGTGTGAGCGTTACTCATCGTTAAATCTTATATTTCTGGGTGTTTACTCACGGTTGTGATGAAGTTGGGAACAAGGAAGAAACAGGGGACGTTTGGAGTCGAATGACGGGGGACCCAGCTGCCGTTCACCGGTAAGTCAGTTCGCTCGAACCGTTGATCTTCCGCTCATTTTCCAGTCAACGAAATTTGTAATACGGGCGAAAAAAATCTGTCCTTTTCTGCCAAAGGTGAGAAACGTGGTTGCCAAATAAAACATTAAAGGGACAGTCTGAAGTGTATCCACAATTAAGTGCATTGCTTATCTGTCCTTGAACAACCGTTTCGTGGCAAACAGCAATGTCAAGTCTGTACTCGGACGAACACCATCTTATTTCGAAAAACCTACAAATAAAAACCCACAAATATCAGAGTGGTTCGATGCCATACCCCCTTGAATACAATCTTTAAACGGTTGGTTTACCGCTGTCTCCAGGCGAATGTATCTCTGAAAAGCCGACTTTGGCGCTCAATCAATTTTCTTTTTATTGGTGTCGATATATCACCCGAATCAAACAAAACACATGACAGTGCACCGCAAGAAAAAAGTCCAGCTGTCTTCAGTGGTTCATCTCATTTAAGACTTTATCCCTTTCGCCCCCATAGGCCCACAGTAACCTGATGAACAGTTTCGTCGCGATGTTAAGGCCTAGGAGTCCTCTTCGTATCGATGTCTTTAACTGGAAAAATAGCTCATTTCTCTCCTTTTTCTGGTCATGTTTTAAAAAACATTTCTGATCGAATTGGCAGGCATTTTGATTTTTGTCCAGAAACTTGGAAGTTCGGTAGACAATTATTTTTCGTTAATAGTTCAAATTGAATTCAAAAACAAAAGAAGGTATGATGTAGTGGAGATGTACGCTGTTGACAAAGTGCATTCATAAATTCATAAGTTCTGTTTATATTTTAATTTTTGACTAATTTAAAAATCAAGGGAGCAGTTACTTATAAAAATGATGTATACCATCTAAATTTCAAAGTTTAATTTTCTGTTGGTTCATAGCACGTTCCGATGTGGCTATGATTAGGTTTCCTTTTCATCGATAAAAACGAATTATCGATAAAAAAAGTGAGACAATACAAAAACTTACTACGACGATTGGATTTGACGGTTCAGTTCTTAAATTTTTGATGGGGAGCATTTCCCATGCTAATGAGTTCAAACATTCTTTTTTACCAAGGATGTATGAAAATCGTACCTTAGATTTCTTTACACAAACTTCAACATTTATCAATTTTAAGCACCTGTGGTCAAAGAACGGTTTGCAAAATAACACAATAATGCTATTTTGACATCGAATTCCTCTACTTTGTATAACAAAAGTTGAAACCCAATCATATGAGAACTTCCGGACTTGTTTCCGAGTACGATAATAATCGCAGCGTGTGCAGTGTACGTTTTAAGCCGTGAGTGACGGGCTGTGCTATCAGCCATTTACGCTAACGCCTCATTGTCCAAACTGACTCGTGATCGAAAGGGACATGTTCGCGTTGTCCAACGAAATTCACAAAATCACAGATACATTCAACAAAATATTTGATCTTACTGAATTCAACATAATGTTATCGTTGACGTCATTATCGCAATTACCCAACAGGCAAAATAACTGTAACACTGTTTCAGAATTCGGGAACACGGATTCAACCACCCATGAATTAAATTTACATGTACAATGTTATGTGTGCGTACTGTTTTGCTTAACGCTGTCCAACCGTGTCCGTTCATTTTTCAAGATTCACATGCTTTCTACATATAATCTGCTAGCTACAGATTACTTTATTCATTGGAATCCTCTCGCCTGTAATTCCTCAAGCATGAGAGAAAGGAAAGTACTTCTTTCTTTGCATAAAGTGAGGCTTTTTGTGGAGGGGGTGGAAACCGAGTCCAGAGGTGTTGATTTGTTGAATACTTTCGTTCATTAGAAAGAAGACCTGCCTTTTCCAACTGGCTCTGATATAATATTGTTACACAGCATTTCCGGATCTTTTAAAATTTCTTCCTCGAGCAGAAAATTTTCCTGATGCTTGATCGAGGAGTGACGAAACTCCGCGTGAAAGTAAGCGAGTAGGATCAATTACCGGTGCGCGACCTAAAATCCGACCGGGAAGGTCGCAGGTGTAGCCCCGTATACCTTGATCTTGCTGGCTCGGGGAGAGACGGATACCTGGACCGTGACCATGCGTGCAATAACTCACCACTAAACGATCCCTTTTGAACGGGATGCTAGTTCGTTCCATCGGTCCATGGCATTAAATTTCAGAGCTGTTACACATTTTTGTATGCACGATTTTAATGCATAATATTCATACTTATAAAATCTTAAGAATCCTGAAAAGTCCCCTTTTTCGCACGTAATATTGTAATTAAATTGGGACACTTTCAACGATGGCATTTAGTCTGCACTCTTGACAAGAAAAGCTAAAAAGAAACAGTGTGTCTAGTTGGAATTACTATCATACATTTTGAGATGTATGAACTTCCCGAGTGGTTATGTTCTGGAATCCAGAAAAAGATACAAAATAAAAACACAATCACTTCTTCTCATCATTAATACTTTATGTGGAATGTATTGGAATATCAATGAGGCTCAAAGAACACTTGCTATGAACCTTAGATGAAATCTCTGTGAAATATATCGATGTCATTAATTTGTAAAAGATTTTATTTTGATTAAAGAAGTCTTTTATGTTGAAATGAAGCTTGATAAGTTACCGTTTTGTTTAAATAATGTGGATACCAACCATTTGAGAATAAACCGTTTATTTTTTTTAAATCTAAAAACAAAGAACAGTCGAGTGTGGTTCTAGAACAGTTTTGAATATTTGCTTTTGTCAAATTTCCAGCCACGACATGGATTGTGTGTCTGAACAGGTCAGAAAATGGCCGCATGGACAGCGGGTGACATCAAAGGCATGTTTGTCTTAACCCATGTGTCGTATACGTCCGTCTCGTCGGCAGCCAACACCAGGAAGAGATACGACCCCCCATCACTCTTCCCGGGTATGACATGCGTGTTTATTTACCGATGTGTGCCTGTCCCAGTTAAACGACACCGCCCCAACCCCAACTCCGCACTGTAGCGGCCGGCACGGAGGTGCTTCGGCTCCGCGTGTTTACACCGTACCTATCGGTGGTTATTGGTGCTCAACTGAACCACTGTTGGTCATAAAACTGATGTATTTATGAATTCAAAACGCAAACGCACGCCTGGCTTATGTCGATACATGTGTGTAGAAATTACATGGTTTGACTGTATATCTGTAAACTTGTGATAAGATTGAATGCTGACAGAGACTCAAATTGCATTGGTTCACGGAGAGATTGTGTGAAACAAAATTCTGCCCCCCCCCCAAAAAAAAATCAGCTTTCAATTATCTCGGAAAAAAGTTTGATTGTTGTTTATGGTCACAAAGACACTATCAGTAAAAATTAAGTTGTCATACAATTAACCATTTTTACACCTGAAAAAAAATCCAAGTACACTGATGCTTTCCCTTGAACAAGATAAATCCGTGAAAGAAACGATCGCGATTACATTATCATTTCAGCCGTATGGCGTAGCTCATTGACATCCAGTCAATTCCCAGTGTAGCATTTGCATATTCTAGTTGAGTTTAATAATGCGATCTATAAGTGAAACGAGCGACACAGCCTTGAAAGAGAATCCTTGAAATATAATGGCGTCAATTATAACAACTTGGATAAAAAAAGACTTGAACTTAAGGTTTTGAGAAGTATGCCAGTTGTTTAGGGAACAACTGCTCTGCATGCCAGAGGTTTCCCTACTGGTTCGCTGGGTCAATCAAATCAATCGGTCTGTTACACTTTCATGGGTTTAAAGACTTACCTTTCGTCATAATTATTGTCAAACCACTCGGGCCGTAATGCTGTAAATCAAGAGAAGGAAAGTTTATTTATATTGAGGTCCAGTGGTAATTCTGGTTTTCATTTGGCTGGGGTCATCACGTTGTTTTTCAACACAGCACGAATTGTACAACATCGCTGACAGTGTTGCACATTACATGGTAAAATGTACACAATATTTCTCAAACCGTATACCTCGAATTTGCCCCTGAACAGGATGTATAAGATATGGAGCCCTGCTAATACTCTTATTGTGATTTTTAAGATAACAGTTCCTACAAATGCTTCGTTTTATAAGCAAAAGTGTGACGTCATCCAAATAAGAAACCTCAGTGTTAAAGATGTTTCTTTTCTAAGCCTTGGATATATTTTGGCAGTCTTAAAGTTATTTACTTTGGGAAGTCGATCGCTATTGTTTCAATTTATGACATGAACCGACGAACCGTTTGTCCACAAATATTTTCAAGAATCCTTATAAGCAAATTTTGTCTTGAAAGTTTGGCCAGAAAATCCCCAAATGAACGGTATCTTCCCATACAGACATTGCAGCAACAATGCCCTCTTTCGTTTTAAATTTTAAAGGTGCATGGCTGTGATGATTGTAGGATAGCTGTGGAAAATTTCACATTTTTTTTTAAAATTCAACATTTATTTCAACATTGCCCTACAAAGACACATAGATAGTACATTGCTATACTTAAGAACAAGAATGCGCATATTTAAATTCAAAATACATTTAAACAATTGAATTATTACGCAGGACAAATAATAATATCACTTGAGCACAAAAGCAGGGGGCAACATCTAGGTACGAGGGTAAAGCTAAAAGCTTTTGTACCCTGACCTGGGACTGACAAGAACAAGGACTATACAAACATTAGATATACATGTACAGGAATGAGACAAGACTTAACCATGGCTGAATCCATCTGTCTGATGTGTACATTGTATAATAATTAAGTGGCATCACAAATTTTCCAAATATGTATTAAGTAGTGTCATTTTCAGTTTCTTGGCAAATGCAGGCGGAGTTGGCAATGATTTAAGAACGTCATTCAGTTTGTTCCAACTTGAAAAGCTTAAGCTTTCAATGAATAGTTTGAGCCCCGATAGGGCTGGGGAGGTTAACCCGCCTACCGCCCTTGATTCAGAGTGGAATGTTTTAGTCTGTGTAAATCATGACTTTTACTTTCACGAAAGATCCCAACGTCACGCTGACGACGGACTGGTACGGTGTGCATCCTGTTGTCGCTTGCCAGTAGATATGACGGAGATTACCCAGGGAGGGCGCTCTTATTCACTGGATGGCAGAGCCGTGAGAAGGAGTTGCGACATGAGTGTTACCACTGTTGGCAATAAACTTGCAGGTGTATGCACCAGTGAACATGGACAGTTGGTAGACAATAGCTGCACGCTGTACTACTGTACACATAGTAGACAGCCATTTTGTTTCCAAAATCTGAAGCTGGCGCTAATCTCGCTATGCACAGCTCTGCTGGGTGGAAGGCCGTAGACAAAAGAAGCAATAGTGTCTAAAGGGTAAAAGGACACGGGCGACGAGCTTCCGGAACCCCAGCGTGGTACGCCTATGGGGATTTTACTTGGGGCCAGTCTATCACGTTTCATTAATTTATGGAAGAATAATTCTTAACTGAAACCATCCCAAGAAACACTCATTCTTGAAGGTTGGCCTTTTTTCTTCAAGTGGTATCGTGATAAAGTCACATGGAGATGGTTAACAACCCAAATTTCCTGAACGATCTTTCATTTCCGGCATTATCGTTCCTAGGTTTTCTTGTTCATGCACATTCGTTTTCATTTCATTTACTGACGTGAAAACGATAATGATTAACGTTGCAAAGATTTATCTACCTGCAGTCTGTAGATGGATTTTAGACTTAGTGGAGCTGACCCGATGGAGTTCTTATTAGGAAAGGCTAAAGATAAGACTTTAAAATTTTTCGTAAATGCATTTTACTTCCGTTAAACGTGTAAAAATGCTAAACTTATATTTGTTTTGCTTTTATTTCAACATTTAACTAAAGTCTATACGGTAGCCTAAAACTCAATACTGTAACTTTTTATCTGCGTCGTCACGCCTGTATTGTCGATTTTCAGACGTGAGGGGCCAATTTTTACTACGACGTTGCTCTTTCAGGTTAGTAATATTTCACTTTCTATAAATTGCCATAAACTCAATATTTTACAAAGCTTTTTTAAGAGATTTTTTCAGACGTTAACGAAGGAAAAACAGTGGAATTGTCAAATTTTTGCACGTTATTTTTTTCCCGGCACACCGGACGCGCCGTTATAGGGACTCAACTGTCAGGCTCTATAATAGTAACAAGCCTGGGCGAAATTTCTGGAAAAAAATTGGATTTGATACCGTCCTTCAGTCCTTTGATGCATTTAATCTTTCCTTATATATTCTGCTTGCACCATCGAGCCTACAGTGAAGATATCCATGTCAAATGGATGCCCGTTTTCGCAACGCTGCCCGTAACTTTGTAAAAATCAAAAGACGTCTAATACAAGAATTTCAACAACAGTCATGAAGAGGGCGCCATATCTTACTAACCGCTGGACAATCTCTCTCGTAACTTTGAAAGTATAGTTTCTGTGCAATTCTCGTCAGTAGCTTCAGGAAAGAGTAACGTGGGCTGTGACTGAAAGAAGCTGATGGATATGTAAATGATTCGCAGTCTGCTAATTTCCAAGTCTGTGTCAGTTATGATAAATCTCATTTACGATTGCGTTTTATCTCAAATCTTTTCTTTCTTAAAAACAACGGAAAAAGTACTCTCGTTGTGCATGTTGGTGTGGATATTGGGGGACTAAGGCCGTAAATGGCAAGGAGACGTGCGGATTTATAGTGTACTAATGAAAGGATTTAGAAGTCACGTGGTAGCTTGTTCTTTCAACCTTGTAAGTAAACTGGTCTCGGTAGGTACCTTGATCAAAGAGGATTCAGTGCATAGTAAAACCGGTGCTAAAAGCTTAGAATGATCTCTTCACTCTTTGACGGTACAATGACACTTGCTCAGCACTTGCAGCACCGTGACTTTAAATTCACCAGGCAAACAGCCTATTGCAACTCATTTCTTTCTTCTGTAGAGTGCTAAGAGGCAGAATTTACCGAAAGGTGTGACAGTTTTGTGTCCCTGTTACATCTGACCTTTGTTGTTTGACATGGAAAAATCACCGGAACTGATTTCAAACTACATGTATTACGATTTGTTTGGCAGGTAATTTGCATTAATTCATCACTCTTAGAAATAAGAAAATGTGTTTGAACTTACAAAATCATGTGTCAGATGTGACACGAATAAAAAAGACCCCTAATTTCTTGAGTTACCCATATGCATTGTTTACTTACTTTATTTCCCCTCCTCTCCAAAGCATGTCAGAAGCCCAAAACTTTATCCTACTCGTCAGAAAGGCTATAAATGGTTGCAAAAAAAGCTGCCATTGAAAAAATTGCCCCCCCCCCGAAAATGTCGTGCCTGATCAGCCTTCGAAGGCAGGGGAAAATAAAAAATTGATATTTGCGTTGTCGAGGAGTAACTTTGGCGGCTTTGTTGAAAGCGATTATCAAAGTATATCTCCCACTAAAACGCAAAAGGGAAGTCCTTTTTTTCTGTCTGATAGATGTTCTATCTTTGAACGTTAAAGATATGCTTACCCAAAATGCTACGGAAAAGTTGATTATAAAATTGTAAAATTAACCCCTCCCTTTCCCCAAACCCACCCAAATCATTAGACTATTACAGAAAACAGAATGGAAAAAGAAGGAATAAATCACTATGTATTCTGCCGATAGTTAAACTTCGTCTTTGAAATACCGCGCCCTGCTAGGAAAGCAATTCAATGTAGAAAGAACGTAGTGCTCCTCTCTGGCAATTGTTACAAAATTCCCGCCAAATTTCAACTACTTTAGCGCCAAAACTGCTTTTTACTTTCTGCTCTAATTCCTTTTCAGACCGATGACTGCCAATTTTAATTTTTTGGATATGAAATATTTACCTTTACGTGGTTATGGATCAGACTGACAAACCATGCTTCCATGTTCAATGCTTCTTAACCTACATAGCAAAGTGTCTTACTTTCTGAACACCTTAAAGGATTCTATCTCTTGCATGCCTGCCACATCTTGCAGGCGCAGAGGGTGCATCTTCGATTGATATATGGCCACCATATGGGCCTGACTACACCATCGGTACATCAGAAGATACACGTTGTCCCCAGTACTCAACCGAGGTCGTTAATTAAAGGCTTTAAGTAGCTGACAGGAACGAACCCTGGCAAGGCGTACAGACTGGGTGATACTGAGGTCTAGATTGCATCGTTTAATCTGCGGTTTCTGCCTCACAGAGCCACCCTATGTTCCAGCAGCGACTGGTGAGTTTCTAATTACGTTGGCATGTATGGGCATTCGAATTGCCCACGGAGGAAAACAAAACTGAAACTAGAAGGGTGGGGGAAAAAAGAAGAGATTTGAAAGTTGCAAAGTGTGATTTGTCATATATCTCTGGAATGATCGGCATCCAGGCCGCACTCATTTTTCTTAAGCCTACTGACTGCACGATGCAGTAAAAGAATGGAGTTAAAAATGTGTTCAATAATTTCACATAATCCTCTCAAGTCAAACCCGAAGAAGAAGAATTTGCCCTTTCACCACGACTTTAGTCCGGAAGGTGAACCTTAAACAAATTTAAAGTACATGTAGCGACATTCCTTTGCTCATGAACGGTGAAGCACTGTTCACTCACTACTATAACCCCCCCATCAGATTCAAACACGATCTTACGTCCTCCAGAAATCGGGAGAGCGTGGCGGTCATGGTAAGATCTTGTACATCGTGGTAAGAACTCTGTGAGAACTGATATCAACAGGGTCTCCGTGGACAGGGAAGTCGTGCCAAAATTTTGAGCATGCTCAAAATTTAACATGGGAGCTTATGAAAAGACATCACACCCTTGGTCTTATCAGCGGCACAGTGATGGCTCAACTGGGGTATTATTAAAATGGCGCACATCCTTGGAGGGCACAACCCTGTTTCTGGATGCTTCGCTTAGGAGTATTCGTTGTGAGGCTTACATTTGGGGAGGGAAGGGGAGGGGACACAGATGTTTGACGGGGAGGCAGAGCCCCTCTTTGCCCCCTCCCCGGCGTACTATAAGAAACTTATATCAATAGACATCCATATGGCCTTGAGGCACTTGAATCCTCTAGTGTAAAACTCCTGCACTGAAATCGGGCAAAATGACATGAAACAAACAGAAGTCTTCATTTCTTTGAACAGGGAAGAGCCTTGTCAAGCATGGGCAATTGGGGGCACTTAACGCCTCGATGAATCTGAAGCAAATTGTCAGTGATCAGCTAGAGCCGAGAAGCATTTATGATAAGTTACTCGAATTTCTGTTTTATTTATGGGAAATGGACTTTCATAATGAACAACATAAGGGCTGTGAAGCCTTTTAGACTAGCCTACTAATCTTCTAGCGAATCCACCTTTGACAAGACAAGCGCCATTCTCAGTGATTTCTTGAAAGGAGAGAGTGTGTGTTCATTTAACTCATTCACGAATAGGGGATCAGTAGGCCACATTACATTGAAAGCAAATCAATCTGTTCATTTTGGGAACTTAAACGTGAAAGGGAGAGACGAATTTTTGAATGAGAGGCACTTTAAGCAAAAACTAGTCAGGCACTATTTTCTACAACAATTTAGAAAACAGATTCCGGGAACCCGATCGAAAGTGAATTTCTGGTGATGACGATCTTTTAGGTAGGAAACGATACATATAAGGTGTAAAAAGTAATTCGATCGTCTTTTGAAATAATCATTTCAGATTATGATTAATAAATACTTGTGTAATCTATTTAAACATTGGGGCAAGCCCAGATGCATTTATAAGTTGATGAATAGTGCTGGGTTTACCAATACATACAACGCAATTTTCAACTTTTTAGTATATGACAAGTGCTGAAAATCGACTCGAAGATTGACGTTTTAAGTTACTTTTAGACAAAAATTAACAACATTGATTTTTTCCGAAACGAATCGTGTAGCATATTCTAGTACCCCATAGTTATCATTGCTGTTATGCGTACAGAAAAATCCCCTTACTTTTATCCAGATTATCACGACCTAGTTTATATAAAAAAACAACAAACAAGAGCAATTTGTCTGTCCATTGGCTGTTTTCCGAAGTCCGGTTCGTTTAGCTCTGACGGCTTATACGACTCCATTTGATTGCCGTCGGCTGCCTTTGATTTCCGACAGAAACTGTGGGGTCCGTCCGCTGAAGCGGTCGTAAACCCTTACCGTAGAACCGCCCCGAACATGCTTTGATATCCGAGAAGAAAAGGAAAAAAACCGAGGTTTTGGTGTTTATTGAGTCCAAATGTCCAAGGAAAGGTTAACTTCGGACAGGTTCCGGCCGCCCTCCCGCCTGGTTTTCATCTGCTTTAAATTAAGCTGAGGGTAGACTGACTGTGCTAGTGTGTACGTCTGTCTTTGTTTTGGCCTAACTGTTTAAAGTAATCCGTCAATCAAAACTCAAACGTCAGATCAAACACATTTCACAAATACAGTTATTGCGGGCGAAATAAGTACTTGTGTAAACCAAATAAGAGTTATCAGCGTAATTGTTTCGCTGTTCTTGTTCGTACAGAAAGTGTCGAACGACCAGAAGTATTCTTTGACCTTATTGGGCCAACCGCTCCGCGCTGAGTGATGAGGTAAGCGATAAACGCTCATTCCCAACCAGTCAGTCACACCCTGCAATCTAAAATGTGATTTGATCCCACAAAACGACCCTAAAAATCACATTTTCAGTAATTTTGTTTTAGTTTGCATAAGCGAGAGCAAACAGAGCCCTTGGAATCGATATGAAAAAACCAACATCATGTGAAAAAAGTTGAACATTCTTGTTTATTTACACTGTGTAAAATTCTTTCCATGGTGTTCGACAGTTACAGAAAAAGGCTCTGATATCCTGTGGCTTTGTCATTAGGTTGATTCACAAATTAACATCTATGGAGGTGTCCGTACTTACAAGTAACAAAATGTCTGTACATTTCACTTTTTAGTTGATGCTGTCTTCTTGCTTTTAAAGGAAATATTGAATTTATCTCTGCGTTCTTAATTCACATTGGATTTCCTATTCAACAGTCATTGTAGAAGTTGGGATAAAGCTGGCTATTCTTAAGTGAGCTCAGTCGGTTAGTACCAATTTAAAGTTGGACGCCTCTGAAAGAATAAAGTCTTAAAATGTCACTCATTGAGCTAGAATCTTCGAAGTAACTCTTGAAACGACTCCAGAAACTGAGTACACAATGTTCCATGGCTTTACTGACAGTAAATGGAAGTATATGGTCACCGAAACTCAAATTGGCCTAATTTTCTGTGAGATTTTTATAAAACGTGAACACAAGACCGGAAATTTCTCTGCCCAATTGAAAAACGTTCAACTTTTAACCTAATTCTGCCTCTGTGTGGATCACTCTGGATTTATTCGGTGTGTCAAAATAATGAATTCATGGAACACTAGGACTGTAATTCGATTAGGGACAAACAACTTGGGCCAGCACGAGCGTCCATCTAACGTCTCATGACGGAAGATTACAAGCAAGCCGCTCTCGACCATGCAAGGCGGTAACACTTTAGCCATTTATGTTTGTAATTTATACATCACCGCTAATCGCATGGGTTGAACCCAAGGTACTTGACTGGACCCCCTCTGGAGACAGCGTCAAGACCCATCCGCTATCTTTCAGCTATATAAACCAACAATGATTGGGTAATGGCTGTCACGTGTCATTTGGGAAGTTTTCACCCCGTCAGGAAGCTGATGGAGAACGCATACTCGCAGGAGTTACGAATCTAGTTACTCTGCTTGTAAATACGGCACCTTTCTAGGCCACATTCACATTTTTCTCTCCCTTTGAACTTTGATCTTTGTCGATGAAGTTAACTGTCTTTGTCCAGTTCGGCCGGAAAAAGGACACAACCTTGTCGCTTCAAACTAGCGGCGATTAAATCGGCAGTAAAATATTCATTTTGTAGGCGGGAAAAAATAGAGCCATCAAAGTTTGACGACTGAATCTTTTATACCTCACCTTGGACTGACCGTGCATGATTGCAATCGCCATGCAGTACAACACACGACAGTATAGCCCGCCGTTCGAGGGCTTTCAAACGGGCACGCCATTCCGTTCAATTGCCCCGTTATACGAGAACATTACGGCCGGCAGTAACGGCTCGTTTGCTCTGTCCCAGAACGGTAATTACCTGGGTTTTATGGGCGGATTCAACTACCGTGCGAACGGTGCATCCCCTGGGTGTGGATACGGCGCAGGTGAGGTGGGAATCGGCTACGAAGGAGGGGGAGGAGAGTACGAATCAACCCAAGGTCTGTGGTCCCACCCTGCCGAGAAATTGGCGGCGAGAACAACTTCCTCTCTGAACTTTAACCACCAGGCTTCCCCGGCGAACAGCGGGTCGACACCGAGTTCATGTGCGGTTCAGCAGGGGAGTGATCCCGGGTTACCGCGGGACCCGATGAATCCTGAAGACGACATCTTTCCGGAGTCCAAGACACGACAAGCGTCAGCCGTGCTCGACCGCCTTCACATCACTTGCAAATCAAACGGTGAGATTTAAAATGAAAAGAGCTTTTGTTCAAAGCTACTTTAAAACTTATTTTACAAATTTCTTCTGTTCCCCAGTCCCCATGGCATGCCATTCTTAGATCCTTTGTAAACAAAGGGCAGACGTACAGTGTAGTGCAATGAAGTTGGTTAAATGTTGGTTAATAATTACCTCTATTTGATGGGATACAAAATGACCAACTTTTGGGAAGAATTTGTTTAAGTTTCGGAATGTTAATGTGAAAATAAATGTGAAAATTATCGGCTCAGTAGAGCGACGTTTGCCAATTTTAAAGGGTGTAAAGTCTAAGAGAACTATTCATTTTGAATATGCTACAATTTTTCCAGTAAAGAATCGGTCGGCGCGCGGAAACAAATCTTACAAAAACTCCACGTTTGTATCGTTACTGTGACACGTGAGCGCCTTTTAATGTCTAAGGAAACCTCCCTTGTTGGTTTGACATCTTGACTGATAAACATTTGCTCTCTCTCCATGAGGAGTTTGAACTTAGAAATAAGCACCAGCCAAGCCCACATGCAATCCTTCCATGTTCGCAACGATTTGTAGTCAGGACCTGTCAAATTCTAGAGGGCGTATTTTTCATTTGTCCATACCCCCTAGACTCTGAAGATTGTAATTTACACTTATCAGTGAAATATTTGACTTAGGAATCTGAAAACAAAGTCTTGGTATTAAACTACTCCGCTGAATGTTTGAACCGTTTTGAATTGTATGATACCGTCCTGACTGTGAACTTCACCAGGGATACGTGTGCGGATGATACGGCGAATATCACGGCCTAACTGGTTGCTCGTGTTCGGTAACACGAGCACACGTCGCAAAAGCGAATTTATGGAGTCAAAGTGGTACCTTATTGCAAAAATTCACAAGAAGGATTGACGTTAGGTGAAGGAAAATCTCCTCTTCACTCTTCTTGAAAATAGGAAATTTGACAAACTATAAAACAGTTTTGTTAATGGCAAGTTACTCTATCTATTTAAACACAACTTTCAAGTTTTTGTATTCAAGCGTCGCGTAAAGAACACACAGCCTTTTTGACACAAAAAGTGACTAAACACGACATACAGCGTGATGTATCGTTTTGACATTCCGTGAAACACTTCAAGTAAAAAAGTACATGTAGGCCAACCCGATACATGTACATGACAACTTAGTATTCAAAAACTTAGTATTCCATCAGTCCTTTGTTTCAAGCACAGTTTACATAATGAAGTTTCAATAATATTTCGTATATTAGAAAAATTCTATTATTATGAAGAAAATTAGGTCAAAGAATTCAAATATATCTAAGGCATTTTTAGAGCTAAAAGTCAGCATAAAGACATGGATCATGCTTGGTTTAGATAGTTCCTTCTATGACATATCTAATGATACATTCGATTGGGAAAGTAATCAAAACTTAGATTCTTTTTAAATTCCGACCATTCACTGTGTCTCCATTTATCACGGGGCTTCAGAATGCATGTTTAGATTGAAGTCCTAGCTTTTAAGATGCCTGACACTAGGTGAAGACTGCGATTGAATTGTCAGTCCTGGTGAACTCACAATGTGCAGACGATTACAATCCAGTGCTTGGCCATTGAGTAAGGTTTAGAAACGTGTCTTATCTTCATGGAGGCAGATATTCATGGATTATGATCTCCCTGCAATTGAATCATGCGCTAAATCATTGTGGGAGTATACTCAGCAAGACTGTCTCATAAATACGCCGAATTAGACTTCTGTGCAGTTAAGCAAATCCAGAACAATGTTTTATAAGCATGGGTGCTTATGTCACTGATTGGGCAATAGGATTTTCTAGTTATTGCCACTTTATAAAGCATCTTGTTTATAGTTGTTTGAAGTCGAGCTTGGATGTCGAAGGGGGCACTTGCCCCACCCCTGGGAAAAAAATTTAAAAAAAGAAAGAAAGAAAATGGAGGAAGGGAAAGAAATGAAAACAAAGAAATGAAAGGGGATAAAAATCAACAATTTACTCGGAAAACGTGAACTTCAAAATTAACCCCCCCCGTGTTCTTGCTTATCATTCTTATTAGCTGATGAATGATTTTCCCCCTTTGGAAAAAATGGTTCACCCCCTACAAAAAATCGTGGACATGCCCATGAAGTCGAGTTGTTTTTCTTACAACTCCAGTGGACATTATAGGTAATAAAACCTAATTTCAACTACAAGAGCCCCACTAATTAATGCACGAACTGTTTCGTTTTAAATAATCTTAAAATGATCAAAACCCCATGACCACTACTTTGACAACTTCAAAAATCAGTAAAGTGCAAAAATTGAGTCACTTAAACCTTTGTAGATCTCTGAAAGCGGCCATGGAGAAAGAAATCGTTAGTGTTTGTATTTTAATCTTTTTTACTTATTCATGAAATTGTGATGCAAACTCGAACTGTGTTCCTAATCGCTTCAACGAGGATATGAAGGTGGGGAAAATCCAAGTGTTCTGGTTTCAATATAGAGCATGGAGTACGGTTTCCTGTTGTATTGTTAAGGCATAAAGTTAATACCTCCATTGGTGACACATGAACTTTAAACTCCCGAGGAGGCCGAAACGATAAACCAGTGCATGCATTGGCTTCTGTAAGTTAACGCCAACAATAATGACTCCTGTCATGCTCGTAACCACAAAATCTCAAAGAGAACTTAATGCTTTTAGTTGGCAAGAGAGACTGTTCGTCTCTATTTTAAACCTTTTTGAAACGCATTTGTATGTGTTGTACAAACATTCATTCAACTCTCAAAACGTACAGTGTACTCGGTTGTTGAAAGAAAAAAACCTCTAAAAATGGTCCTGCTGTACTACACACTATTTCCTTTAACTTTTTTAAAAACAACTTTTTAAGTTTCCTAGTTGAAGAAAATGCAAGATTTGGGAATATTTTGCTACGCAGTATTCAATACTGTTATCATCTATTTGCACTACCCCTGTATTGCGTTTATGATATATTTTCGCTGTGCCGGCTTTGCAATTCTAATCTATTTGGTGTCCTAATTTTATTTCCGTAGCTTTCAGAGTTTGCTCCTAAATCCTCCAACCCGTGCGTTCTACTACTCTGCACTCGATTGGTTACGATTTTTTTCATATTCAATGCAAAACAGTTTTGCGTCTTCCCTATTTAAAATGCGGAATTTCCTGTACGTTAGAATATCAATAAATTGGTATCAAGAAGAGCCCAAGATTTTAACCAAAAACCTATACCAAAGCTCCTTAAGCCGTCATTGTCGGAGGAACGGGTGGAAAACCTGGGAAAAAAAAGATGGAAACAGTTTGGCTGCTTTACTATTCACGTTTCATACTTGTTTTGCGAAATGTTTCTCGCTTTATATCAAAAGGACATGAAATCTTCGATTCCAATCATGTCTGACTTCTACAGTTTTTTTCTTAACGGTCCTGAGTTACGTACTCTCTCAGCTCCATTTGTCGGCCCGTCATTCCCTTATGGAACGAGTGAATGAGTGAGTTACTCGCAAGGCACTGAATGAGAAAGCAAGTGCGCCTGTCACAATGTCAAGTGTGAGGAGGTCACTCAGTTGGTCACGTTTGGTTTGCCACTTGAGTACGCGAATACGTAGGACGGTCGGTCGTCTATCGCCGGTCAATCAGTCGGTTAGTAGGTCAGCTGATCAGTTGCCAAGAAGGTTTCACTCGTCTATCCCATCGCCCGTCCGTTCGTTGGTCTTTTTTATCTATTACTGGACACTGTCCATAGTTTTAAGTACTTGATTATGAAGGTGACCCTTATCGGTTAAGGGCGTCGAATGTCTACAGGCTTTCAGCCAACACATTTTGACAGACTTGAAGCAAAAGGTTCTTCCCACTCGTCGGTATGATTGGTACCGAACTTCGTAGATCATCTATGGGTAATATCGAATACTTGTATAATTCTTTGACGGAGGCAATTGGGTGCATTTGGGTAAACATTCACTTCTGCGTTCCAGGACTCAGAAATTAGGGCCCATGGGTGAAGAGCAGATGTAAAATATTTACCTGCGGTAGGTTGGGCGATAACGATAGTGCTGTGACAAATTCCGTTCAAGCCCATCGAATGAGTTACAGTTTCCTCTCGTTAAATAGTCTTCATTTTTTCTGTTTTATCTTCCCTAGGCCGGGGTGAAAGTTACACTGGCATAAAACATTGTTGATTAATTTGTCAATCTGGCGTGCCATATTCTTTAATCAATGTATAATATTTTATCATTTAAACGCATGCTGAACCCTATCCCACTCCCTTGGGCTTCATATCACACAGACATGCAGGTGTATCTGAGGTCCAATCCGTTGGTAGGTTTAGCTTGCCGTCAACAAAATTGTGTGAGTTTTAATTGTACAACAAAACCAAGCGTCGAGGTTTGTTGTTTACCGAAAGAAGCAGTAATCACGAACAGGAACGGACATGTTTGCCAATGCTCTTTTGAGGGGTTGCTCAAGCATAAAGTGTGAAAAAAAACCAGAATGTTTCTTCAGTCTTTTATACCGCATTTTTCAGAAAATCGTATTCTAGTGGGCCATGTAAAATGCCACAACCTAGACACCGTGCCTTACACCATGGCTCAATCATATTTGTGCCTTCTTGGGTAGTGATAACGAGCTTCCGTTGATTCTAAAGCAATTTTTGACATTTGTTATATTTGAGGATTTGTATTGACTAAGAAAATGCTCATACCTAGTTTGACTCCTTTTCCCCCGAGAATTTCTGCTGTCGAGATTTCGTTTCTTTCCTTAATGCATGTTGGTATTCTCTTTTCAAATTGATTAGAATTTTTTGTCGGTTTGATTTTTGTTTTCCCTTGTGAACTCTCATACCAAGTCGTAGTGGGATTGAACAAAATGCTTGCACAACAGTGCATCCTTTGCTGAGGGTTTTACCTCTCATAAATTATCGTTCGATTCCTGACAGTGAATGGTTGTTATGGGCTTGCTACGACTTACCACCCATCTCCTTCACCGAAAAAGGAAAATTCCTGTATTGTTTTCTCTCATTCCAAATGTCTTGAGGTAAAGTAATGACAGAGTACTGACTGTACGATCAAGAATTAAGGGGAAAACAAGAAATGTCCCATCACACTAGTGTTGTATACATCATGTAATCAGGATTTATATCATAACGTGACTTGAGATTTGCGGGGACACCCGCACTAGGGGCCAGTGGCCCCTTGTGCCCTTGTGGTAGACGGTCTTTTTCAAGATTAGCAGAACCTAAATTATTTCAAAGTCCTGTTTCTGGATTAAAATTACTACTTTGAATTATGACTCTTGACAAAAATGACATCATCAATGGTTGACACTGCAGTTGTTTAATGTACCAGAGTCAAATTTCAAATTTCGTAGCTCTTTATCAAAGAATCAGATTCGCTTCTGTCTGAAGGAAACATCTGCCAACTACATTCAAGGCATTTGGTCCACTCTCATGGCTGATCCATTTGACCTTTGACCAAACCTACAAAGTGGAGTAAACTCAGAATGCAAATATTCCACATATCTTTCAGGGTCTCGTAGTTGTGAACATCAAGAAACGTGTCTGCTGACACTCTGATATGTATATTTTTAAACTTTAAGAGGGTAAAAACATGTAGTTATGAGGTAGTAGTACCTCAGACGTTTGGCATCTCGACCCTGTCTTCGTTGTCTTTTCTTTCCCCCAAAAAGAAGGGATACTATTTTTTAAAGAATGCATCAGATCAGATTGTTTGATGGTGTGGAAGATCAGAGTGTTAATGCGTCTTGAAAAGGTTTTTTTTTTCAAAAATGGGAGTAGGCCTATCTTTCTTCGAGCTCTTGCATCAAAACGCAAACCCAAGAACAAAAATCGTGCATGCATTTGAGACAAGGTTGTTGAGTGAGATTTTAGGATCAACGTCGGGTGCGTAATGTAACCAGATTTCTCTAAATAAGACTTGTGTATGACTACTTATCTGTTATTCGGGTGAAGTATAAAGGAATATTTTATCCAAGTGCTTAGCAGCTTAATAAATGCAGTCATTATGTGGTCACCATAGATACATGTGGTTACCACAGATACAGTTTTTATTAATTTCAATTAATTTTTGAATTTGAAATTAACAACTTGAAGCTAGGAAATTGAAGACTGTAGTTCGAAAGTAGGTCTAACGACTTATCGGTAACTTTATTAAGTTGGGGCACACCAGGGGCGTGGAATGATGGTTTAGGTGTAACCTTGACTTGTGTTGAGATTTCTTCGTTTGAGCTAAGAAGACTAGCTCTTTGCTTAGCTGCCTTGACATGCTACCCACACGAAATGAAACCAAAATGTCTCGACTCCAGGAATCACAAAGTATCCACCCGCTTGTCGCACCCTTCCCCTCGGTTCGGCGGTACTTTGTTCACCCTATCCGGGGCCGCCGAGGGGACCCGGCATTTACGACCCGCCTCACCTGTCCTCAGCCGCTCCGTGCCCTTCGGCGTTTATAGGCTCGTTTCTGGTGTAACGACATCAAGCCGCGGCCGCCAAACCATTCCCTTTTCAAGTTGAGCCAAAATTATGTAACGCAACCGTTATTTTAATCTGCCTTTATTACTTCACAAATGAGACCAAAAAGTCGACAATAGGAACCAGGTTTCCGGATCGTATGTTGTTTTTGTTGAGAGCAAGTTGTGGGCCATATATGAGCTAATAAAAATTATTACGAAGATCGAATTTCAAGAGTTGGCTCTCGAAGTATAAGAAGATTCCGGCAGGACGCGCTTGTGAAGATGTGTAAAATCACCCGATTTATTCAGATAGATTTCGTCGCTATTCAAAAAAGGGGCAAAACAAAGCATAGCCTACACAGAAAAAAGGGGGAAAAACAAACAAAGCCAAAGAAAGAAGTAGATTGAAGTGAGACTGCTCTCTCTTAAGATAAAAGTTCAACTTTCAAATCTTGTAGAATTCACTGCTTATCACTCTCAAAGAATTTATGGTTGAACTCATTTTTGTTTCAAAACAATGGCAAAGCGGAGGTGACATTTTATAGACAAACAACATGAAAAACATGAAGACTGCACGAGCTTTTGTATAGCTTTTGTATAGCAAACAACTATACTACATCAATTGCAATTGAGTAGGAACACCTGGTAGGATTTTCCTGGGTGCATTCGAGGGCAACGACGGGTGAGTGTGGGGGGTGCCCCCAGTAATTAAGCCCAGTCGGCATAAGAGCTTCGGTCGGCAAATGAATCCAAACTTGGTACATACGGTAAGAGATATACCTTGGAAGTTGGCATTTCCCCTGAAGCATCAAATGTAGAGTAGCGGTACCACCAATTTCCATTTTCCCCACTTTTGTGAAATTTACACGACACGAGGTTGGCGAACAAGTTACAAGTCGGCAAACCGCACCCCCAACGAAAACGCCTTCGCTACACCCCTGCATGAGAGTACAAACAAAAGCTGAAGATGACTAAGGGGATTAATTCTGGTAATGTGAAAGAAAGCCACTGTTTCTATTCAGTTCCTGATTAATACAGTTCAGCTTCTGGATTAATGGATGATCTGTTGTTCAATAGCTTCCCTATGAAGTCTGGACACGAATGCCCTTGTTTAAGAACAGCTACTTCAATACATTGGGGGGTGAAGATTGAAGTGCTGGAAGATTGAAGTTCGAAAACAATCATTATTGAATGTCTTTCAATACAAATATGCTTTGAACTTTTGTTAAAGATCTTAAAACCCATCTTAAAGTATTTAATTTGCTTCCCTAGATCGAATGTCGCCAACATGCTTCAACTGCAGCGACAATAACAATAACAACTGCAGCAACACCGGCATAAACAGCGATAACCACGACAGGTGCACCGCAGAGACCACTCCATGCGGCCGCGGTGGTGACGCCGCATGCCGATGGATGACGGCCGTGGACACCGGCCCCGCAGCCAGCACCGGCGAGTCCGCCCATGCCCCCCGCCCGCGGAAAAAGCGACGGCCTTACACCAAGTACCAGACCTTTGAGCTGGAGCGGGAGTTCCTCTTCAACATGTACCTGACCCGGGACCGCCGGACCCACATCGCCCGCTCGCTGAGCCTGAGCGAGCGGCAGATTAAGATCTGGTTCCAGAACCGCCGGATGAAACTCAAGAAGATGAGAGTCAGGGAGGACCAGGACGGCCGCTCACAGATGATGCAGCATCCTCCAACCCATCCACCTCATCTACACCATCACCATCACCACCAGCAACACTTTCACCATCTTCACCACCATCACCATCCGGGTCCAGACATGACTGTGGCGTTACACCATCATCCTCATCATCACCACCAGTTTCTCTGATCATGTGATGAAGTCTCTTTGTATCGCATCTAAGTATTGTTCAGGGAATTCGACAAAAGTTGAGGTTTTTTGTAATGAGGACAAAGAATTTCTAATTGCATCTGATGGTCACCCGACTAAGCTGTTGTAATTCTGTCTTTCATTAACACGTTCTGTTCAGTGGAACAACAAGGCCGTCCAATGGAGTATAATTTAGGCACATGCACGCTCTTTGACTTTTCCATGATAATGGTATCAATTTATCTGGTAAATGATATCTGATTTGACATTACAGTGATAGCAAACAGGCAGAGAAATGGGTGTATAGACTAGTCACGGGCATGCAAAACAATGCACGAATCGCAATTAACTTATGCAGGCCTAATTGATAGCAAGCCTATTTCCTCATCATAACATCCCTAGGGCGCCCTCTGTGGTCTTACAGTGTCATTTGGTACCTCGCTGTTTTGTTTAGAACTTATATTATGCCTAGTGGCCGTGATTTTATTTATACTTTTGAAGTCACAGGGTAACTCCATGGAATATATTAACCTGTTGGAGGATAGAAAAGTAGTTTTTTAAATGGGTTTTTGTTCTGTTAAAATATTTAATTCATAATTGTCTTTGAAACATATTCCATTCAACATTTCCTGCCCAAACAACTAAAGCATGGCGACTGTTCCTAGAGGTGGCAATAACATGCATTTCCATACGTTATGTACAAATAGTGGAAGTTATATGGGGGAAGTCTGATCACCGCATAACATGGTGCCTTGTGGAGACCAGGAAAATAGTTTGAAAAGGTCACGGCAGGGAAATTCTAAATATGTAAAGGTCCCCACGAGGTTTTACGAAATTGGTTTTGGGAAGTAACTCAAAAAGGGGCAATTTTTAACGTGTAATTATCCGCAGCGAATTGAAGTATTTTATATAAGGGACATTCGGTGGAAATTTCAAGCCACAAACGTAACTCTGGTTCCAGTGGGGGTATTTTGAAAACAGCGTTTCACACCCAACGGAGCATTATCTCCACGAAGATACAGATTCCGAATGTTTGTACCGATTAAATGTCAAATTACCTGTATGCCGTTGAGTCAACCTTGAAGCCACGTCACTTATTAACATCACAAACATGATAAAACATTCCGGAAACAAAGGACCATTAGAACAGTACAGGAGCAATCCACATTCATGTCACCATTTTGTGATTAAATTAGCATTTTAAATTTGTAAAAAAGAAAATAACATTTTTCAATACTGTAATAAAAAATACTGCAATCCAGGAAAAACCGACTGTGCCCCGTTCACCTTTATTTTCAATCCTCGTAGTATAATGGAGAATGTCTTTGAAATCTTGTTTTTTATGAGGATGCCAGTAACCATTTCCATGATAAGAAAGACAGGAACAGATTACATGCTCCGTTGACCCTATATGCATCAGGGGTCTGTAGGCCCTACTCGAACCGTCTAGGGTCTGCCTTCAACCACCAATTTCATGTTGGTGGTTAGCACTGCAGCCTTGAATTCCCTGTTCATTCTAAAATTGAATAATGAATGAACTAACTAGTTTTACATTTTTCTAAATTAGCAATTCAAAGTGTGAGGGGAAAAATGAGATACCGAAACTTTTCTTGCCTGTTCATGACTATTATGTTTGTATTTTATGGCATAACTATTTTCTTGGACCCTCAAACTTTCGTAGGTCCATTGTTCATTGGCCATAGTCAGAGCGCCTGCTGAGCCTAGTCCTGGATAGCTCAAGCCGGGTAACAACCGCTACAAACCTTGTCAGAAGATCAGATAGTTACGTATAGTGTTCATTGCTAAGTCCTGTTAAGTGCCTTTTCTTCCACTCTTCATTGAGTTCAACACAAATCGAATCAAGCCCCAAGATGATAATACCAGTTCAGCTATCTGCATTCACCCTTTATGCGACACCTGCTCATTCCTCACGACGGTTAGCATTCTAGGCTGTTTAAAGCACTCGTCGAGTCACCGTATTCAGAGAGGTGTAGTTTCTTTTCAACAACGTACGGTACATTCTAAAAAAAAAATTGACGATCACAGTTGACTTAATAGACATTGAAATCGCAGTGGTAACACCGAGTTATTACATTAAGCACAATGAAAAACGCTGTCGACACTTAGGTTCACTGGTTTAGACGTTCTCTCTAAATTTTCGGTTTGGCGCGTTATAACATTTTCTTTTTCATGTTTGGTAGCAATTAGGCCTACAGATTTTCATTTGAAGTGCAACACTTCTTTCATTTCGCTTATATTTTCAATGTGTTGGGTTCATTTTTACATGCACTCCCTCCATTTATTTTTATTTCATCATTTTCCGTTGTTTCGACATATATCTATTGATATTATGTTAGTGGTAACGTATGGTTTTGTTATGTTTTTTGTTTTTCCTTTTCAGAGTTTGAATTTAGCCAACTCACTGTCAGTTTAACCTCAGCCTTAACTCTTCCTTTGTTATTAAAGTAAATATTTTTTAAATAACGGTAACGATGACAATTCATGTCTAACTTTACGGAACAAGTTATTTAGAAACTTACCTATCAATACTCTCCAGATGATATTCCAAATGCATGTATTTTCCAAACAAAATAATTTCCTACAGTGACCAAGGTGGTTTGATGAGTAAGAATGTAAGTTCTAGGTTGTAAACGTGGTCTTCAGTCGAAGAGACGGTGAAGTGTTTCCCATTTCAGCTACTCGCCAAACTTGCTTGGTGGTGGTATAAAAAGTCCCCAACTCTGTAGAGTCATATCGATAGCACTTGAATCCAGCGTGATCACAACTAATTTGAACACATAAATCCATTTGAACAAGCGATGTAATGAAGACAGAGCCCCAGATCCACTGATGGTGCCGACTGCATGTCTGGGACTTCCGCATTGCCAAGAAAGAAATAGTCGTACGGCCAGCCGAGGACCGGAGTTGCACAAATTATTAGCTTGGGCCAGGAGTTAAGCTTTTATGTACGTGCAGATGTAGGCCTACACTGGCCAGCTGGAGACGATTGAATGCCTCAAAGAAGTAGGAACTATTTCTTTGTTCTGTTGTACAATGAACAATAATGGAAGGAGGGGCGTGGTTTGAGATGGGGAAATGACTCAAAATGTTTAAAGAGTCTCTAATTTTGAATGGGCGAGGACGCAAAGAGCTCATTCGAATAAAGGAATCTCTCTTACAATTACACAATGTGTGGAACAGATGGAATCAGTCTAAATGTACAAACGGAAGGTACTGCAGTAGT